GAAAATTCGATTTCTTTCATATTTTAATGTTAGATAGGCTAGGGTATAACTAAAATCGCTGTATAGTTCTTTCTATGAAATATCCTTTTATTTCAGAGATAAATGCAAATAACCAAAATCCGTTAAAATCGTCAATTGAGGCGCTCAATTATTACAATGGGTTTGAAAGCCTCACGTGCAAAAACAGATTACTCTACCGACTTTAAAACATCACAGCCTTCTTTTACAACTCCTAAATATCTGTTAAAATGGTTTGGGGGAAATAGTGCTCTGTCCTTTGTATACAAAATAATTTAATTTCGAAGGCATAAAATTTACTTCAGTAAAAGTAATGAGTGAGAAAACATAATTTTCACCATGTGCGAAACCTTCAAATCGATTAAGCTTCTGGTGGTTGAATGTTAGAAGGATGGTCTACAGATTACTGTAAAAATTTCTTTGGTCAAATGATTACTAGCAACGCGAGAGCTTTACAGTTGCGAGTCGGATAAAATTTAGTCCCTTCACTTGTCTAAACCCACAGTAGATTAAAATGAGCAGATGGGAAACCGTTTTAAATGTTCTTACCTTAAAATCTGCTGTAAAAGACGAGTCCAAAGGCCATTTTAGCCCGATCATCGAGATGTTTGATCTTGGTATTAGAGTTTAGCAACGATGAAGCAAGCAAGAAAAAAGAAAAAGACCATTGGCACTATGACGCCATTTTACTGCTACGACCAGAATCCTCAGGGTTTCTCTTTCTTGTACAAATTACGGCTGATCTCCCTGGGATTAAAAAAAAAAAACTAGTATTAAAGTAACGCCATCGTGCAAATGCGTAGTATTCGTTGATAAATCGGCTTTAAAAAATATCTTTAGTCGTGTATAAAGGGTTTTAAGGGTAGTACATGTACTTTCAAGCACCACCACTCCTCCCCCATTGAAGTGCACATGACAGTATTACTTGACGGACAGCGTTGACATTATTGTGCCATTGATGAAAGGAAATACGAAAAGGATTCTAGTCGTAGCACCGGTCAGACATATATTTTGGTGCAGTGTTAAGCATTGTTTAACAAATGACTAAGCCGTCGAAGAAGATGCAATCGTGATAAAATACGCTTAAAACTGATCAAAGATTGGTATTCGACCTTTAAAGACGTCGAAAGTTGACGCGGTGTGTCGGGTGTGAGGTGTAAATTGCAGACGTTACAAACCGGACGTCAAGCGACGAACGACAGGGAAATTGCGCTAAAATGATCTTTGGACCGGTCCTTTACTGCTCATAATAAGGTAAGAACATTTCGAAACGGTTTTCTATCTGCTTATTTTAACTTAATGTGGGTTTAGACAAGTGAAGGGACTAAATTATATGTCCGACTCGCAACTTCAAAGTTGACCCCGGAAGGTCAAATATCTGCATTTTTAACCGATTTTGTAAAGCTCTCGCGTCGCTATTAATCATTTGCCCAAAGAACTTTTTACAGGAATCTGTAGACCATCCTTCTAACATTCAACCACCAGCAGCTTAATCGACTTGAAGGTTTCGCACATGGTGAAAATTATGTTTTTTTCACGCATTACTTTGACTGACGTAAATTGTATGCCTTCGAAATTAAATTACTTTGTATACAAAGAACAGAGCACTATTTCCCCCAAATCATTTTGACAGATATTTAGAAGTTCTAAAATAAGGCTGTGATGTTCAAAAGACGGTAGAGGAATCGGTTTTTGCACGCGAGGCTTTCAAACCCATGTAATAATTGAGCGCCTCAAATAACGATTTCAACGTATTTTGGATATTTGCATTTATCTCTGAAATAAAAGGATATTTCACAAAAAAAACATACAGTGATTTTAGTTATACCCTAGTCTATCTAACATTAAAATATGAAAGAAATCGAATTTTCCATCCTTGCCGCGATATGTTTGATTTTTACGGACAGGCGCTCTTAAAACCTTTTTGCAGGTCAAGGTTGTTAATGCGGAAAAAGAAAGACAAGTAATGGAAGACGTCATACGAACACTTGACAGGCATGAAAACGAGAATCTTCCACAAGTACAACTCACCAAAACAGAGGTACATTGCAGTTTGTTAGCTCCGTTGTTTAACCACGGCAGGATAAGCTCAGTCGTTAGAGCGCATTACTGTAGAGCGGGAGGTCGCGGGTTCGATTCCCGGGATCCTACCAGTACTCAAGGTCTTAAAATAACTGAGAAATCAAGGTACTCCCTTTGCACTACGAGCGTTTAGACGTTCGCGTGACTTGAATGACCACGTAAAATCCTGTTTTCGTTTGAGCGTATTCAAATTCAAATTGTTAATTCGGAATGTTGTTAGTGGCTCCTTTCGGTTACTGGCAATAAAAAAAGACACCTTTTCTGTACCCTATGTTAAGTTCATAGGCAAGTTAACTTATCCTCATTTTGATGGCGACGATGTCTCATACAAAAGTTGTCACTTTTCAGATAATTTTCAAAGATGTTCAATTCCTTGAAAAACAGACCGCAACCTTAGAAATTGTCAACATTGGCCAGGTGGGTAATTTGTTTGAGAGCAGCCGCTTTGTACCGCTACAGACAAGTTTGCTTTGGCCATAAAGTAAATTCTTTGTTGGCCAGGCTTGCTAGATCGAGATGGCTAAATATTGGCCTCGTTCTGGTCCTCCTTGTTTTTGTATATGGGAAAATATTCCCTCTTTCGTTTGAAAGAACCAATCCTTTGTTATACTGACAACTTGGCGTACGTCACTATTTGAAAAGAAAGTGTTCAGCGTTGTTTATTCCAGTTCTTTCCATAAGTATTGAAATTCCGCCGCCTACTGAATTCCGCCATCCAATAGCCCCCTGCGTCGCGGATGTCGCCAAAGATAATGAGCAGATTTTCACCTCCACTGCTTTTTAACACCAAAATCTTTTCGCTTGCAAATGTCTGTAATCAAGATTTTCAAAATATAAAACAGTTATTTTAAACTCAATATTGGAGAGTCCTGTTTCTTATTCTGATTGATTGACAGGTGCCAGCACAGTTTGCGTTTATAGCCAAGTTAGACGAAACCGAGTACTGTAAACCTTGGCTGACAATCAAGCCCGCCATGGGCATTATAATGCAAGGTATGGTAAGACTTGATATGCAATTTAAAGAGACTATCCTCAGTGCTAGGGTAATGTCTCTGTAAGTCCTGGACATTTTCGAGCCCAGAAAGCTGTTTTTTGTTTGCAATGTTTGCGTTAAGAGTAATCACTTTATTCCCCCCTATTTTTTCTCAAAAATTGTAAAAATAGCAAAAATCGCAGATTTATTGAGAGCGCTCTCCGAATCCTCTAACACTGCTTTATTCATATTGGTATGCGATGAAACACTGCTAATAGTAGTTAACGAAAGAATAAAGACTGAATGGCTTTGACCTAACCAGTGTTACCCATTACCAGTCTTAGATTTTGATATAATGATATTAAAATGTGGCTTTGGGATCGAAAAAGAAGCGGGATATTCGATGAACGGGCCCCTGGACTATGCAGTCGGTTTTGGGTTTTGGCGATGTCAGACTTATTTAAATCACAGAAAAATCGCTGTCACTAGGAACTGCGATCCTTATAACTGAGTTTCACGAGCATGCGCAGAAAGTGGGCCGTTGTGTTAATGAAGTGAGGGTTATTGAAAACTATTGAAAAAGCTTGTTGGTAAAGAAAAACACAGTATAGGGCTCCCAGTGGAACTGACTGAATTCAGTCTGAATCGCATATTCGACTTAAATCGCTATAGGATTTCCCTCACTGATCGTCCGTTGCATCTCTCTCTTCAGCATCTCACTCAACCGTTGTTTGCGTTGTCACGCTACGCTCTATATAACGTTAAGGGGCGTTGTCTGACGACCCTACTCGGCCCCCTATCCTCCTTGTCCATCCCCAAAAAAAAAAGAGATGCAAAGGAAGAAAAGAAAAAAAAAAAATAAAGAGAGGCGGGAAAGGGATTATCGGCACTCTGTAAATACCTTGAACTTTGTTGAAAACAATACGCTCCTTTGAAGTTATCTTACTTGAACATTTACGATAATTGTAGTTTTGCCTGCTGTTAACTGAATTGGAGTTTTACTATGTTGTCAGGGTCAACCAAACAAGTGAGGCTGACAGTTTATGTTGATAAAGAGTCTGCAAGGGCCATGAACTCTGGTGACGAAAAGATTGAAGATATTCTTGTTCTACACTTGGAAGGAGGAAAAGACTTCTTTGTATCCCTCATACTCTTTTATTCATTACATTGAAAGAACCTTAAAAGCTTTAATTAAGTCACTCTGTTAACTCTTCGATAAACGATGTTTATTTTAGGGCTGTAAAAATACAGTCGCGGGATGGATTCTTTTATTTACACGGTGAGATATTAAAATTAACAGTGCTGTCGCGCAGATTGTAAGTTGCCAGCTTTATATCAAAAGGAGGGAGAGAATTAAATAGCTATGGGGATTTCTTTTGGTCATATTTTCCCCTCTATGTTCTCATGAAAGTAGCTGAGTGTCACCTTCATAGTTGCCCGGGGAAATTGTTGGCTCCTGGCCCGTAAAGACATCCTCCACAGTGCTGGTAAAGGAATTATTTAGCACTTTTATTACCAATTATTTGCCCCTAAAGGGCATCTGGCCAATCAACATAGGGACTTTCATATGAGTTGGGTCACACTGGCTGGCTTTTTTGAGCGAACAGGAACTCACCAGGAAACACACATCATTCCGATTATTCTTCTTTCGGTATTTCCTGAAATTGTCAGCGGGTAATGTTTTTTTTTATATCAGCCATAGTATTTTTTCACGCAACGTACTTACCGTTTCTTAACTGTAGACAGGTGTCCGTTAGTGGTAATTATATTCCTAGTGTGTTTGGTTCGTCTATTGAAGCACTAGTGCGCATGTACGGACCTATTAGGGAGGTGCCAGTAGCAACTCTTGTGGACTTGGTGAGTTCAGTCTGTATCTAACCTACGACGCATGCGTAATCAAACCCGAATAGTAACGTCTGCCAAGTAGCGCTAAGATCCTTGTTCTGGGTTCTGAACGGACTCAAGGAATTACCGGAAGTGCGTTTCGAATTTGCCGCTTCAACCTGATTGGCAAATCGGCAATGGGATTTTTTATTAGGCCAATCATGGCGTGTATTCAAATCCTGATACATCGTTGGGGGCCCAGAACAAGGAATTGGGCGCTGGCTCGCAGACGGGTCTAACGAGAGTTGAAGGCTGCGTTCACGGATAGAGCTTCTTTTCACACACAAGAACGGTGATTTCGGCACAATCTCTAAAGCGGAGAGTCACATATCGGATAGGTGTGTTCCAACTATGGCGGATAGCTTTTCATGTCGGCAGGAAAAGCTATCCGCTATAGTATGAACATAGCCAAAGCTTGGTCTGTTACGCAGGCTAATAGAGACCTTTAGATTCTAAGACGAGTACGACAACGAGTACGAGATTTTCTCAGTACAAAGTGGTGGGCGCGCGTGAACCAGCGTCATTTTGGCGGGAAAACGTCGTAGCCGTCGTCACTCTGCTACGAGTTTTAGCGGGAATGTCGAAGTGGCGGAAACAAGTTATCAAATGTTAGAAGTTTTATCATTTTGCAATCGGGAGTGGATGTAACCTCCTTCAATTAAGGCAACAGTGCTAACTTTTCTAGTGAAAAATGGTAAAGTGAAGCTTTCCAGGGAGTCTATATTTCGAGAATACGTGAAAAAACTTGAAGTCAAATCTCGTACTCGAAGTCGTCCTCGACCTTGAATCTAAAGGTCTGTAAGTTGTATCCTACCATGTCGATAGTAGTATAAGGCTCCAATGTCAGCATTATAGATGGGCTACAATTTCATCGCAGTGAATGACTTTTAAACAACTTACAATGCCTGTAGTACTTGTAACCACTACTAAGTAGTACCGGTATCAGCAGCAGAGGGTTAGGGATAACATGTGGTGTTACCTTTGCTCTCTAATGGGCGGACTACACAATAGATTATGGATCTATTATGTGCGACTGACTTTCCCATTGTAACTTACCGCGGTAAATAGATCACGTATGAACGCATACGATGTGAAAAAATAAGGGAAAGAAAGTATTCGTGTCTTACCGTGGTTTACAACTGGTGTCTTCAGATTGGCGGCATAGGAGAATTTATTAGTAATGCTTTTTTTTGGTAACAAAAGAAAATCATAAAAAGCCGCGGTAAATCATTGTTCGTGTAGCTTACTGAAGGAATATTAACACAGCACTGTCATAGGAGTTTGTGGCGGATGTATGTGAAGACTGTACTTTAATGGTGTTGTACGCTAAATGCTTCTGCGCCTTTATCCCACCTTTTTCCTTTTCTGTAAAATACCGGAGAAAGGATTGTACAAAAAGTAAATGCAAAGGTTGCATTGAAATGGTTAAAACCAGAGGATTTTGTCCCGGGAGACTCAAAAATGAAAGTTTCACCATCACACGTCGATATTATTGCACTTATTATAACGTAATTTGATATCCTATAATCCTTTTTTATTCTTCTTTTACTAGGAGCATATCAATCCTTTACAACCTTCTACCCTATCAGATAACGAGCCACTAGAAATTCCCAAGGAACTGTGGCTTTTAATAGATCACTTGTACGGAAGTGGTATGCGCCAGGTAGGTTGTTTATCAGTTTAGTAAAAACTAACAGCAGTTATTTCATGTACAGGCCTTTCTAGCTTAACTGATCTTACCATATCCCCTCTTTTAATAGACCTTATTTATAATATCCGCTAGACCAAGACTAATATGTCCAGTCAATCGGCTCGTAAGATGCACTGTATTTTTCTTTTAATCATGTCAGCTTCCAGAGTAATTCTCTTGTACTTGCCTTTCTACAGGAGAATATTCTCAGGCAGTCTGGGTTCGAGGACGAGTTGGAAGATATCCGGTCGCATTTGGACTGTTGCCGAGGTGGCAAGTTGCGTATCCCTTTACCTTAAAGTAACTTAAATGAAAAATAAAAAATTTTAAAAAGCCCTCAAAACAAAACAAAACGTCATACGATTCCAAGCTGACTTTATTTCCACCGCATAAATCATTCAAACATGCCAATAACACAGGCAACTCTAGCTAATGCCACTTTAAACTGTACTGCAGTTGCCGTTTCGTGTTATGACCTGGGCTTTTTAAAAGGGCTGAGAAACTTATCAACCGTTTCACGGACATTAGTTAAACTAATCCCTCTCTTCTTGCCCAACCTTCTTGCGAAGGCGAGTGTAGGGCCACTTTCTCGAAATAATTTTTCCAGGGTATTTTGTAGCCATAGAAAACAGCCGACATTGCGCGATTTCCTCGCGACATGACGTTTGAGAAACGAGTGTGGAAATTCCATACTGATGACGTGTGACTACCCAGATCTGGGTAGTGTATCTGATTGGTCGTGCCACGAGTGAAATTTTCTTCAACCAATCAGAAGCAATTCCCAGATCTAGGAAGTAACACGTCATCGCTGTGGAATTTCTGTGTTCGTTCCTAAGCGGGAAAACCAGTAGTGACGTCAGGAAGAGAGCCTATAAGCAGCAACGTTTTTGAGTGACGTACGTAATCTGGAAGTGAGCTTTTTGCTTTTTAATATGTCCTGACGCCCCCAAACATGTATTGCTAAGTGTCTTTACTCTTATAGAGACGATCTGTCCAAACGTTTTTTTCAAAATCACAGCTCAAGTGTGCAAAAAGTCCACTTCCGGTTGACGTGCGTCGCACAAATGCTGTTCGATGGCCAGGTATCTTACAGTCCTACTTTCTTGCCACAGTGATCGCCAACCGAATTTATAAGGGCGCTCTCCATTTGTCAGAACTGACCGGCCAGATGTATGATCAATAGATATTCCGCCATTTTTTAAACTCTCTTGATATTTTCGCCGAAAGCATAGTAGTTTTGTCGAGCTTGTTGCAGTTATGAGAATAAACGCCTCCCTCTTATAAACGCCTTCTATCTATTAAACGCCGCCGCTTTAACCCCTAAAATTAAATAGCCCCCCCCCTCCCCCGAGCGTTTATTAGGTCATTTACGGTAAATGCGAAAAAAAAGGCGGCAGGATTGGTCTTTTTCCTCTAGTGTCCAGTCTTTTTAAGATTGTTTTACTTCCTTAACTGTTGGCCAGCCGGTAACGTTTATTCAGTAGCAGAAGCCTTACTTATTTTCTTGGAAGCGTTGCCAGAACCCGTGATTCCTTATGCCTTTTACCAGAGAGCGCTGGAGTGTTGTAATAACTTCATCCTCTGTAAACAGGTAGGTGATTACGGAGCCGTGTCAGTTGGAGGTTTTAGTAGTGCTGCCAAACTGCATATATAAGTAGTCTTTTATGCTTTGTTTTGTACTAGTTGTGGAGCGCCAAACGTTATGTTATGCTTAGTATTCGATGATGATGATAATCGTGATTATGATGGTGATGATGATGATGATGACGACGATAATTATGATGAAGACAATTTTTATTATTATAATTATTATCATTGTTTTTAAGAAAGTTAGAAGTGAGAACTATTGCGATTTTTATCACCACCACGGCCTTCGCTAATACTTTTCACCACTTGCTGTCCCTACTTCCTAAAAGTTTTATTATTAATATTTTTCAGCTGATATTCCAAATTCCCCAGAGCCACCGGAATGTCTTCACGTACATCAGTGCATTCCTTAGAGAACTGTTGCTGTACTCTAATGACAATAAACTGGACGCCAAAACCCTGGGTGAGTACAACCTCTTTGGTTCTTACTTCTTTAGATATGTTTTTGCCCAGTATCACATTGTGGATACATTTATTCGGGAGATCTCAATGAAGTCTTGTTAAACAGAATCCAACGCAATTAGGGATCATTACTTTTATCAGTCATAAGTATCCTTAGGTTGCAACTACAATCGTTTGGGCACTTTGTTTTCCATGTATAGAAAATGTATTATTTCTCCTTCTCCCTTCTGTCCCCACCCCCCTCGCTCCCGCTGGACAGTAATAGGGAGCTTAAGCAACGACGTCGGCGACGGCAACGAGAACCGCAAATAAGCAATAGGTTTTTTTGTACATTTCTTTGCCGTCACTGCACGACTACGACGTGAAAATGCCTAATTTCACGTTTTGTGGGTTACGTGAACACAAGACAACGACTTTCTTTTTCTTTTCTTGAAATTCGATACAGTCCTTTAGAATTCACCTCAATCGACGAATTGAACGAGATGGAATAAGGGCGATTAACTTTGTTACACTACTACGTGAGAAATTTCTGCAATTTGATCGGCTTAGAGCAGTGGTATTTCAGCTTAATTTGAAATACCTACATGTGAAAATTACATACCTTTTATGGGTAGTAGTATAAACAAATAGCATGATTTGTGCGTGATATTTGGAATAAATACCACTCGTGATATTTCAAAATTGTCTCAAATTTCACTCGCCTAATGGCTCGTGAAATTACGTATAACAATTTCGAAATATCACTCGTGGTATTTATTCCAAATATCACTACAAATCATGCTATTACCTATACAAACAGCGCGACTTCCCTTTTTAAGTAACGTTTTCGTAACCCTCGCCGTCTTTGTTGCTTGAGCACCCTAATGGGTGTTAAAAGTCAAACACCTTGTAGACATCTTGCTCAGGTTATGGATGTCACCTTTGACCAGGATGGGGAGTAAGATGGAAACGTCCGTTCCTTGTTAATAGCCTGTTTTCTTTAAGCAATAGTCTCTTTTGTCATTTCTATGTGCTTTCTTTACTACAGCCACTCTATTTGGCACACTGTTTCTACGCGCATCAAAGAACAAGGAAGCAAGTCTGAGCAAAAGAGCCATCAATCAGCTGACGCAGAAGAAGGCTCGGTTCATGTATCACTTTCTGATCAACGAGTTCGGTCCCTAAGGTGATGTTTCACGAGACAATTTGCAACGTCGATTTTAAGGGCAGCAATAGTTGGAACAATATTGCACCAACTCGAATAAATGTCACAACAATGCTGCATCGCTCTGTTGTACTGAAAAATCGTCGTTGCGAATTGTCCCGCGTAACATCGCCTTTAGTTGAAACAGCAATACACTTGAATCAATAGTTGCAACAACAATAACAAAATGGAAATCCCTCCGTGTATGAGTCTTCTTCTTTAAAAGAAGAAAATCATAGGGGATCGTAGTCGGCTTAGTATTAGATAGTTTTTAAAGTATTTTGCGATACCAGAAGTTGTCTTGGTAACGCTCGAAAACGAAAGCGACCACACGAGGTGGCTGGTCGCAAGCATTGTTTATGGGCAACTAGACACGATTGAGTTAATGAAGTATTAGGAGCACTGATCACGTATTTTATATCCGAAAACGCAGAAAAAATGACTGTCATAGTCTAAACACAAGTAGGTTTAATCAATAGACCCTGCCACGTTTTTTTAACTTTTGAAATGGACCAGTTAGGCAAAATCCATCGACACCACTGAAAAGAGCGTCTTGAAATTAGTACATTTGTAAAACTGCCAAGTTTAAAAGTGCTTTGTTAAAATCTAATGAAGATATAGTTTCTCAAAGTCGCGCGTAATTTTACAGACGTTTGTATGGTGTGGGGCCCAAACTTTGTAAAAACAGGAATTTTCTTCTCTCTCTTTCTATTGCCAGCATGGTCCAGAGAGTTTCTATAAAGGTGGGTTGGTCACAAAAAGAAACGAAAGAATTGCTCTTTCCAAAACGTTATTTATTTGCCACACCAAAACGTACCACTTGTGTAAATATTTACTTTGCACGCCAAAAATTGTATTCCACGCTGAAAAAAGCCCCACAAATGCAAATGTGTCTTAGGTCTTTTTTTGTCCATGATTGTACATAAGCTGTAGTTATAATTAAAATGCCATTGTCGTGTAATCCTTATCCTCGGAGACCCAGGGGCGGTCAGTCGGGCCGGGAGAAAAGGCGCGACAAAAGTTTTCAAGCACATCCGCCCATGCTTGAAAACTTTCGTCGCGCCTTTTAACCCGGCCCGACTGACTGCCCCTGGGTCTCCGAGAATGTGTAATCCTGTACGCGTCACCTTTTTTTCTTAATTGACCCATCGCTTTCTTTTGTTCAAAAAAGTCGAGTTTCATTTTTAAACGTAATACGATTTTATCAAGTTATTTTTTTAGTCATTTTTTGAAAATGAACATTATAGCTAATATTAACTATTTTAATAAATCGCAGCTGATATGTTTGTAAACAATATTAAAATGAACAATATGATTAAATAGAAATAATAACTTTTGGTAATTTACGCAAAGCACAAGTGGTAACGTACCCCCGACCTGTAAGTAAGTAAATTTCAACACCCTAAGTCTTTATCTATAGGTGAGTTAACTCTTCCACTCTGGTCTGAGGATCACTTATCTAGAAAAATGTTTTTTGTAGTTTTGAGCATGTGAAGGAAATCCTACTGTGTTGCCGTTCACTGAAAGCAAACTTAAAGGTCATTTCTTCGCATTTTTCCCAAAATAATTATGAAAGCGTTTCTAGTATTTTTTTCACTTTAGCTGTGTGGAAGTGAAAAGGTTTGAGAACGCTTACTCAACCACTTGGCAAAAACCAAGTTAGCCGTGGTTTTTTATAACTGGCTTTTCGTTGCGCGCTTCACTCTGTTTTCTTTTCAGTGTGTTCAATTAACTTCTTCGACGATGAGGAGGCCATTTTGAAGCACAAAGAATTATTGGTCGTAGAGGGCGCAAATAAAAAACAGGGCAGATTAGTCTGAGTCAGGTGAGTTTCTTGTTTTGTCATGGGTAAAAGTGATCGTTGTGCCTTCTTTGGCGTAACTAAGTTATAGAAAAGCCCAAGTTTTTAGTCGCTCTGTTTGTGTAGTCTCCGCCATCTTTGTTTTTGTTTTGCCCCCTGGACGGTCCATAATGCTTTGTGCTTCAAGGTGGCTGCCTTCTTCGTCGAAGAAGTCCATTCTAAACCTGCCTGAGGTGGTAATGACGTTCAGCGGATATCCGCTATGGCCATGCCAAAAATGTGTTAAGTTTTCCATCGCCCGGCCGCCTCATTTTTCTATTCTGGAAAATGAATAGGAAAAAGAGCACAATATCCTCTCTAATGTTGAAAACAAACGAAGTTATTTCGTCGAGTTTCCCGTAAAAAAGCGAGTGGAGGACATATTTTGCCTTCGTTCACTTTAACCGACCCACAAAAGATAGGGCGAGGGGGAACCGAACAGAAAAAAATATTCCTAATGTCTGTTTTGCATGCTGTTACGACACACATATATCTTAGTCCTCAGGGAACAGGTTAGCCTTCTCTTCTTTTTGGTGTTGGTTCTTCTGTGGCTTTACTAAGTAAGCCTTAATCTTATATAAAATTACCGAAAAAAAAAAAAACCAAAGTACCCTTTTGTACAGTGGCATTGAATATTAAAGATTTATGAGCATGAAAATGTTTTGTATGTCTGTGTTTAAAACCCTTCAGTATGCTTTGCCACAAATTTGCTGTGATCTAGCTTTGATGCTGTAGATTACTTTCATAGTAACTAAAATAAATTTATCTTGCCGTGATCATAGCTTCATTTTAGTACGTCTGTTAGGGGAAGAAAGTATGTTTTTTTCTGCCAATTACTCTGCCGACAAAGTCTACAAGACGAAGTATATTTTATGGGTGGTGGCGCTACTGAAGGCATGGTCGCCATCTTGGCCACCATCTTGGATTTTATCAAGAACTAGAAATCAGGTACAAACAGTGAGAATTAATATTTTTTTTGCGCTTAACACGTAAAATAACACATAAATAATTACTTTGTATCATTTAATCCACAAGTTTTACTTTTATTGTTAAAAAAGTTGAAAAAACATGCATTTTCACTCACAAATGGCTTGACCACCTGCTACTTATGACGTCTTATCTCGTAACCATAGTAACTGACCATCACTAAACGTCTCTCAAAATACGCGGAAAGGATAAACCAACAGCTACAGAAATCTTCATGTGCTGATACTTTAACGTCTAGGGAAAAAAATGAGAAAAACCTACGTCCGGGGGTTTAACTCTGTTGCCAAGTCTTGGACTGATTCCGCTGTTGTCAAACTTCAAACAAATGACCTCATTACCCGTAGCATGATGATGATGATGATGATGATGATGATGATGATGACGACGATGAGGAGGAAGAGGATTAAATCTTTTCAAAAGGAGTTTTCATTTTTCAACATCAAATTTTTACACACTCTATTTTTCGTTAAATTTTACTTTCGGTTTCTTGAGGGGATGGGATGGAATCTGTGAAGTTGACAATGTCATGTAAATATAGGGAGTTAAAAGTGGAGGCGAACCCGACAGGGAAATGAAGGATTAAATGTGGGAAGTGTGCATGTGATTTGTATTTCTTTGCTGTTCTTTAAGTTATTGTATTATGGTCCTCCAACCGTCAAATTTTACTTTTATTGTCCCGCGTTCTTTAAAAAAATTACCGACAGCTTCTTCTCGGTTTTGTCAAGGCCCAGGTTTTTTCATAGCTGCAATCATGGACAGAAGGTCTTGGGACAGTTTAGCGTTTCTGGGGCTTTTTACAATTCAAACAGGTCCAACCCCAACAAACAACAGACAACAAACAATGTTGGACGCGTGTATCCAGAATTTTTTCCCAGTTTCAACTTTGTATAGGGTGGCGGGGTTGGGGCTGGGGGGAAGGGAGAACTGCAAGAAAATTTCGAAAAGGATGCACTCTTGTAAGAGGGAACCGAGACATGACAGAAAAATATGAATATTGCAGCACTGTCCCAAGGACTTTTTTCCAGGATTTTGGGTTAAGGCAACCCAGGGTTAATGTGAATTTTCAATTCAGATATGAAAGCTTCAAATGCAGATTCACTTTGATTGTCTTTGTCTACAATTTGTTGATGGAATTCTCTAAAAATAATAGAGGAAATTATGTAAGAAAATGCTTTTGAACAATTTAACCCCGGCGTGGGTTAGCGCTAATCGGCCTTCAAACATGTTCAAACTGTGTCAAAAAAAAATACTGTCTTTGTTGACTCTGAACTGCACTCGCCGTCATACACGGACTCGAAACGAGGACTTAGTACTTAGAGTATTAGTACCTTGCAAGAGCTGTTATCTGGGAGCCGACATACTCTTAATTAAGGGATGTTAATAATATGTATTTTCAAAAGAGAATAATAATAGCTGTTTCTCTCCTGATATTTAAGGTTTTTTGGATGTCCACGTTCCAGGGCCTCTATTCTAAAGTCCAGTCCAGACGTCTCTATTCCTCTATGTCTCTCGTCATTCAATATGGCGTCAATAAAGCTTCTACGAAGGAAAATGTTTTCCTCTTGAAGACAAAAATAGAAAGATGTTTTAACTTTTCATGGGCTTTGATATGAGACAGGCTTATCGAAGTAATAGAAGAAGGCAGAGTTACACGGATGTGCTCGATGGTGTATTTACTTGTTGCAAAATTTCGAAATTAAAATTCCGTCCTTACCTTCGATACTCCCTGGGTACTGAATTAATAAAACGTAAATATTTATTTTAATTACCAAACTTTTGAGATTCGGGAACGCTTTTGCTTTCATTATATCTTTACTCTGATTTGATGCGCCTTCCAGCTTAAAGTCGGCATTCCATCCATACATACCTATCAAGAATATTGATAATTCCGTGTATTATAATTTTAATAAACGTGTTAGGCTCGATAAAAAACACTCCAAAAAAGCAGTAAAACGTGGAGAAATGTAAAGTAGAAGTGAGAAGAAAAAAGTTTAAAGCGATTCCCCAGAAAAAAAAAAATTGGAAAAAAAATCTCCTTCGAGCCGGATTCGAACCAGCGACCTAAGGATTACAGGCTAACCACTACAGTCCTCCGCTCTACCAACTGAGCTATCGAAGGAATCACGCGGTTTGCAGGGAAATTTAAAGTAAATAAATAAATGCTTAGCTGGTCAGCTTTTCATCGAAAATTCGAAGGCTTGTACATTAAAAACGATCATAGGGACTTGTTCTTTAATTAAACGTAGTATTCCAAAATAATGACCCTGACATTTACAAAGGGTTGCCCATGTCTCAAGCTCCACGTTTCACCGCCGCAGGTAATACATGCAAAAGCACCTCGAGACTAGGCTTTTGTACATTACGCTAGCATTTTTTCGAGCATTTTAATGAAGCAAAAGCATTGAGCATTATTCGAGCATTTTAGTGGCATTTTCCCCGGAAAATTAATTTTTTCAGATAAAATAAAATAGAAATTAACTTTTTTCAGGAGCCCATGCCCCATGAGCTCCTGCTTTTTTAAAGAAAATGAAGACTAAAACTCAAAATTCACAAAAAAACCTAATACAGCTGTTTCTTTTGGCTGTATTTATGAACTTGTACATGTTGTCGTTGTTACTTGCACGTTTTTGTAAGTGTAAACTTTAAAATTAATTTAAAAAACCGTTTGTATAATGAGCATTATCCGAACATTTTCGATACTTTTTAGGGGAGACCGAGCATTTTAGTGAGAAAACTGGAGCATTAAGGTGGAGCATTTTAGTGGGGAGGCAAAAGCATATTGTACATAAGCCTACTCGAGACGCAGCTTGGAATTTCATCCCAGCAGTGGTCAATATATATTAGTGTCTTTAAGAATCATTGACCGGTAAGCGACAAAACCACAAAAACTGCATCACTGGATTTAAAGGCACTAATGAATTCGCCGTTTTCATTGCTGTTTCAAAATTAAGTGCTGATTTATATACTATCATAGTGAGTTTGGACTGCCTGTGCTAGTTTGAATTTTTGTCTCATTTTAGTGTTTACGCTTCACGTCACAGTTTGTCGCAATATAACGGTGCGTTTCATATTAACACAGTTCTGCAATCTGTAAGTTACCAATCACTGGAGAAGGGAATGATTTCTGCAAACACTTATGACTCAGACTCGTACCCAGTCGATCGCTATTTTGGTGTTTTTGGTCGGGTTGAGAGAAGATTGTGGTTTAGGTTGAGGCGTGTGAGGTCTCATGAGTCTTCTTATGAGTGGCACCTCTGCCGCACATTAATCGCTGCCGTTTTTGTCATCCTTCTTTCTTGCGACTATTGCTCTATCTGACAACCCGACGTCATTTTTGTTTTCTCTTTCTGAGAGCGCGGTAAAAGATTGAGAATAAACATAAAATGAATGAATCTTTACAATCTTTAAGTAAAAACAAAAATTCTCGGAAAATGTGTGTCTACGCTTCCTCAAATGATAAATGATTTTCTGTCCATTTTTTCAACAATCGATCGAACGTTTCAAAATAAATAAATAAGTAAATAAAAATAATATTAAAAATGCGATGAGAGTGATCTCGATACACTAGCAAAAGTATCTGGCATCATGAAAAGAAAGAAATAACTTTAGTAGAGAGTCGCGAGACTTTCACATAAAAGAGATAACTTTGCCATACACTTTGTTTGAAAAGTAAGAGTTTATTGACAGTTCACAGTTGTAAAATACGCTGAGAAGACTTATAAAGAATAACTTATTTCTATACAAGCGTACTGCACTCGAGAAATGAAATAACTTTACTCTGATTTTTTTTCCGGTTTGTTTGCACCGGGGAAATTTCCCGGTCCCCGGGCCCCGGTCCTAGGTGTCCGCGCCCAGAGCGAGTTCATGCTGTGGAATCATTTCTCGTCCCAAATTAGTAGACTGTAGTTATTTTCTTAAGCGAGATATCGCGTTTGACGCATGTACACTAAACGTTAAATACAGCATTTGAATATATGACAATGGCTTACAAGGTGCAAACGTACGGTTTCCCAATAACCAAATGCATTAAATAATTGATCTCACTGAATAACACCATAAAAGCCTGAAGTTCCAAGAACGTTTTAACGACGGCAAACAAATCAAGCCATTGGAAAACGCAATATAAATCTCCGTGTTCTAGGAAGTCTTGAAGGCAGCAACGTCTTGATGTCACAGGTAAACGCACTAAAAGGGTCTTAATGTACTTGAAAGTCCTCTAAGAGGCCAGCGCGTGGATGGAATATCCTTGTTGTCCACGTCCAACAGCATAACAGGCTCCCGTGCGCAAATCCTAGACGAGTAGCATGGGCAGGAATATGATACCGCAGCCCGCACAGGATCATTGAGCGCAGCTTTCTCAGTCTGAGGAAGAGCAATAATATGCACCACAGGGAGAGGGGTCGGGCCGGATTTGGGCGGCGCATCCAGGAGATCCCCTGTGGTTTTCTCCCAAGCACAACCCCACAGGTAAATACCATACACGAACATTCCGTCCAGTGGTGGTTCTCGTAACTGGAAACGAAGCCAACAAAAGACAATGTTAACACAGAACATAAATGAAGAAATCAGTCAAGAATTAACTCACTCTCTCCTCCGTCCGTAGACTTCTTTTTGCTCAACAGGGAAGTAGGGGGAGAGGTAAGAAAGAAAGCGCGCGGAAGACAATGGAAAGGGGAAAGAGAAGAAGATAGAGTGGTTACCGCTTTTTCCCTTTTCCCATCGTTCGACGTCCGCGTACTTACATCAGCATTTTTACTATTATTTCTATTTTTATCGGAATAATCAGCGGGAGCC